CCCAAGTAGAAAATACAATTAGAAATTTACATACTACTACTAGTACTACTACTACTACTACTACTACCACTACTACTACTACTACGACGACGACGACGACGACGACTACGACTACGACGACCACGACGACCAAACCGACCACGACGACCACCACAACCACGACCACGACGACCACGACGACGACGACCACGACGACCACGACGACGACGACCACGACGACCACGACGATGACGACTACTGGTTATACCAAAAGTCATTCCTTCCATGATTGTCATACTTCTTGCTATCACTTTGACTTTTACTAGTAGTGTTACTATCAGCACGCCGTGTTGCCCCTTCCCAGGTTCTTGCACTGCTGGCTGCTGGCTCAGTTGGGGTGACAACCGGTTTTCCGATGTAATTAATACAAATAATCACCAGAGAATGCCCCAGCAGGGGATGCACACAATCCTTGTATAATCCTTACACAACTTCTTGCGGGTCACTGCAGGGAGAAGGGGGGGTGAGGTCGGGAAGCGCTTCAGTCTTTTCAGTGTCCTCCATATGAGCTTTTCGATGCGTTCAGTGTTTAGACTTGTGTGACAGTCCTCCTCTAAGGTAGCTCGTAGCGTGATGTGGCGCAGGTTCGTTGGTGTGGAGTGGCGAGCGTCTTTGTCTGGCATTTTTATTGGTGAATGTATATTGACTAAATCGGGAGAGTAGGAGTTTCTGCGTTACATCTTTGCAGGCTGCTGAGAACCGACTTGAGAGATCAATTTGAGAATTAATCTTAAACACTAAACCCAGAACTTGTGTAAGGGATGCTTGACACACGCCCGGATGAACCTCTTGTTTACCAGCAGGATCAAGATTCACCACGGTTTAGGATCTCAGGTTATGCTAAAAAACTCGGAATACACAGAGTTTTTGCTACTTCAAATTCAAATCGGCTGCCCCCAAACACAAACGAAGCTAGATCAAAGTCTGGGATGAGAACCTAACGCCAAATCTTGGGTTTTATGGCTTAATCAGGCTTTACGGTAGGGTTCAGGGCTCCAATCCTGAGCCTGAACCCCCTAAACCCTAAACCCTAAACCCTAAACCCTAAACCCTAAAGCCCTTAAAACCCTGAGCCCTAAGTTCTACAAGTCCAGGCGCCTTCAGGCCTTAACCCAGCCGGGCAGCAGGATCTGAGAATTTGGTTCAGGGGATATCTTTTAGGAGAGGGTTTAGGGTTTAGCGTTATATAGGGTTTAGGGTTTAGGGTTGTCTAGGGTTTAGGGTTTAGGGTTGTCTAGGGTTTAGGGTTTAGCGTTGTGTAGGGCTTGATTAGGCTTCAGGAGTTAGGATCTAAGGCGAGCCTGCGAGCACGTTGCAGTGTGTCGAGGGCAAGTGATGTTTGCCTAGTCATGAATTGTGATTCTTGAACGTGCCATAGAGCCATAGAGTGCTGGAGTCTACATCCAAAATCTCGAAATTGTACATCCTAAACCCCGAACCATAAAGCCCCAGGCGTAGCCCTAAACCTTAAATACCTTTGAATTTTAGAGGCTCTTTCAGGCCAAACGACCATAACCTAAATCCCAAACCGTGTTGCTGGCTGAGGCCCGCGAGCACGTGTTGATGGTCGGTCCGTCCGGCCCTTTGTAGATGGGTGTGGGTTGGGTACTGCCCCCCCCTCAGTAACAGATGGATAATAATTATAATATGGTTATATATAGCCCTTAATAGGACCGGTGTGGGGTCTTGGGTTATGGTTGGAGGTTACGGGTCTAGTTTCAGAGCTCACGGTCGGCATCAGGATCTTGCCGCCCAAAATCGCGGGTGTAGTATCTTCGGAGTTAAAGTAGGCTGAATCCTTAGCTCTAAATCCTGCCCCACTTGCTCTGAGCTTGAATTTGGGCTTGGAGTATTTAACCTTCAACCCCAAACCCTAAACCTAAACCCTAACACCCCAAAGATCCAGGCCTTGCACTTGCCATCAGACACGACTCTCTTTTGCGATCTTTTCTTTCGAGTCTAGGGTTTAGGGTTTAGGATTTAAGAATTTCAAGTCTAGTCTAGCATTTAAGGCTTGGTGTAGGATTTTGGGTTTAGGGTCTTGAGGGACATAGAAGGAGGATGCTTCTGCCGTCATGCGGAGGCTCCCAGGTAACTAAAGGGTTTACGCGTTTAGGGTTTAGTAAGGCATTTAATGTTTAGGCGTTTAGGGTTTAGGGGATTAGGGTTTAGGCGTTTGGGGTTTTGGCTTTTAGGGCTTAGAGTGTATGGGCAAACACGCTTCAGCTTATGCTGACCGTGGATTTAAAAACTTCCGGAATCGGACTGAGTAATGCGGACTGCAGGAGTCTGAATCTCCCGAGCGTAAATTGGCGAGACTTGCAATTTCCACATACCGGGATTCCCGCCCGGATCCCAGACCTTAATGACTACCCCGCAAGCCACGAAACGCAAACGCCACAACACTGAACCCTTAAATATGACCCTTAGAAAGAGAGATGTTGAATCGCTAGCTGTTAACGTTTTTGGGGTGTACTTTTGGATTTCCTACCATGATTAAAAGATTAAGCGTTGTTGGCCGAGGAAATCTGAGTAGGTGATACCACCCACTAACAGTGACCACAAACGATAATTGTCATCATGCATTGCGGTCCTTATTTTTAGGGTGTAGGGTTTAGGGTTTAGGGTCCCTATATATCCCTGAAGCAGCACGGCTATTCCCGGGGTGGGGGCCTAGCCCAAGCAATACTTTGAGTCCTGAACCCAAAGCCTGGAATGCTACTTGAGCAGTGTCTCATATTATTGGGCTCCTATAGTCTCCAACCTACTCCCTAAACACTAAACCCTGAACCCTAAACCCTAAACTCTAAACCCTGAACCCTAAACCCTAAACCTTGAACCCTAAACCGTGTAATAAGGAGGATATTGTTGTAAGTGGTCCAACTACCAAACAAATTGCTGAAGTCTTGGGAGTGAAGCTTGGGAAGATCATCCAGCCGAAGCCATGTTCCGTTATTCGGGTTTAGGGTTTAGGGTTTTAGGGTTTAGGGTTTAGGGTTTAGGGTTTAAGGTTCAGAGCTTTGGGTGTAGGGCTTTGGGTTCAGGGCTGAGGGTTTAGGGTTTAGGGTGGCTTCCAGACGCTCTATATAGGATTGGGGTCAGGGATTAGGGTGTATAGTAAGGGAAACAGAACATATGCCAGCAAAAGACACCGACGCCGTGAAACCTAAGTCCCAAGTAAGCCCTAGACCCTATGCTAGGGATCCAGTAGGGCCTAAATCCTAAATCCTAGACTCTAAACTCTAAAGCCTAAAGCCTAAACCCTAAGCCCTCTAAACCCTAAGGATCCCTAGAATAGGATTTAGATAGCCCAAAGTAGATGCTGTCGGTCGATGGCGCCCTATCATAGACATAGATCCCCAAGTCCCAGCTCCAAACCCTGAAGCCCCAACCCCTTAAGGTTCAGGGGTTTAAGGGTTTCAGGGTTAGGGTTCCAAGGTTTAGGGTTTGAGGGTTTAGGGTTTAATCCCTGAGGTTCATGGGTTAAAAGGGCTAGGGTTTCACCTCTGAACTTCGTGACCCCAAGACCCAGACCCTAAACCCTACACTATAGTAGGTTTCCATTTTCTTTTCCATTATCCCAATATAACCCCAATATGTTCCCTATATCCCCTATATAACCCCAAATCCTAAGTCCTGAGCTCCAACCGCCAACCCCTGAAGCTCTCGGCCTTACACCCTGCCGCTTTGCCCTAAGCCTTAACCCGTAACCCCTAAACCCTAAAACCCNNATATATCCCTTTAAAGGGACCTAGACCCGAGGCCAGGAGTTGCAAAGTCGCTGCTGGCGGAGGAGTTGGCGCACGCCACGGGCGTGGTAGCCTCGGGGATGGGTGTAGGGTTTGGGTTTTGAGTTTAGGGTTTAGGGATTAGGGTTTTAGGGTTTAGGGTTTAGGGTTTCAAGGGCTTTAAGGGTTTTAAGGGTTTTAAGGGCTTTAAGGGTTTTAAAGGTTTTAAGGGCTTTAAGGGTTTTAAGGGTTTTAAGGGTTTTAAGGGTTTCAGGGTGTAATTAGGGGTGTGAGGGCTTAAGGCTTGAAGGTTTTAAGGCTTTAAGGGGTTTAAGGCTTTAGGGGTTTAAGGGGTTTAAGGATTTAGGGGGTTCTGGGGTTTCGGCTAAAAGGTTTAAGTATTTAAAGGTTTGGGGTTCAAGGGTTGAAGGGTTTATAGGGGTTTAAGAGTTCATTGTTGAATGTTTTTGGTGTTGTCATATTAAAGCCCCGTAAAGAATGTTGGCTTCTGCTTTTAGCCAGGGACGGTACACCCCAAACTCGAAACCCTAAACCGTGTGTATTACAATTTGGGTTTAAGGTGTGGGCTTCACAGTGACGTGTTTCAGAAGAAAGCAGCAGAAGAACAATGGAGGAGGCGGAGGAGCAGGAACAGCTAGGGTTTAGGGTTTAGGGGCATATGGTAGTTTCCACAAATGATGGGACCCCAATTTAAAAAGAAAAAATATGCCACAACCTTTATTATGGTGACCCTCACCTTGGAAAAGCGCCATATGTTCATATGTTCATATGTTCATGTGAAGGTTGCTGCGGGTTCTTGATTAAGGCTCATGGAGGATTTGGCTTGAATCTCTACGGCTCAGAGGATTTGAGCACTGCTTCTTTCTAGTTTCTTGTGTGGGATGCATCGGAGGTTCCCTCGTAAACATTAATTCCAGGGCAGGCAGGGTATTCAAAGTTTGTGGCTCATCGAATCTCCAAGATCCGAAACGAACCTAAACTGCGTGCTCTTCGCAAGGCCTCCTGCCTAAACCCCACCCAGGGTAGTGTCCGTTATTTTCAATTCAAAGAACCAGCTGAATTCTAATTTCCAATACCGCCCCAGGGAACTCAGCGTCATCAATAGCATTCAGGGTTTAGGATTTAGGTTTTAGGGTGTAGGGTTTAGGGTTTAGGGCGTAGGATTCGGGGTTTAGGGTTAAGGGTCGAAAGCCAAGCCCTACTCTGCAAATGAACATGTAAGGTTTAGGGTTAGGGTTTTGGGTTTAAGGCTGTGTAGGAAAGGGTCCAGGGATTCGGGTATGAGGCTTCGTAGGAAAGCACTCAAGTTATAAGCAGGGCTACAACCCATTTTCCCGTTTTAGCCATTTGTACAGACATCAGTACTGCTTCGTACGAGTTATGCCTATTCAGGGTTTAGGATTTGGGGTTTAGGGTCCAGGGTCTAGGGCTTGAGCCTTATCAACCTTTAGCCGTTCATTCCTAGCTCCCAAATGCCGTTTCTCAGCAACGGGCGCTCCTGAAAACCCTTGGAATACATAGGGATTAAAGGGGGATTATGCGGTTCTCATCAAAGATTATACCGCAGAGTATACAGGGATTAGTTGGAGAACTTCCCAAAGGAATTCCATTTCCGTCTGCAGCAAATGCCTCATAAAGCCCTGCATGCTGCAACAGCATGTACTTGAAAAAGGGAGCCAGAACTTGAAGTACGAGGTACGAAGCGACTTGGGTTCAGATTTGAGGGTTTTGGGTTAAGCCCCTCTACCTGAATCTGTTGAGCATCAATGACGACAGCTTTTTCTAAGCCCCAACCTCTACAACTTGAGAAATCATGATAACAACAAACACCACGGAAATCATAATGATAGTAATAATAACAACGCTCGAACGGAGCGTAAACGCGCGCAAATTCATCGGTGCGCACTTGTAGAGTACTGAATACTCTGCTAAACGCGGTATTTTTGCAAACACGCAGTTACAGGCTGTCCCGAAAACACACGTCAAACAAATAAGAAGTTTTACGCGTGCCTTTGCAAAAAATCTGTGTTTTGCAGTGGGTTCTTATCGCCAGGAATTTCAGATTTCAGGTTTTCTAGATTAAGAGTTGCCTGCGGGTTGTTTTATGTTGTAGGATTGGCTTGAGGGGTTGAGGGGTCGCAAGGGGTAGTAACGGAGGCGGATGCTTGACAGGAATCTTGGTTGTGCAGGAAGCGAACGTTATGATGCTTTGGGCATGGATGCTCTGGTTAGCGTATGCTCTCGAAACACGAACATTATTACGCTTTGGGCGGGGATGCTCCAGTGAGCGTATGCTCTCGAAACACGAACGTTATTGTGCTTTGGGCATGGATGCTCTGGTGAGCGCATGCTCTCCAAACACGCACGTTATTATGCTTTCGGCATGGATGCTCTGTTTGTCGGCTGCAGTCCAACATGGCAAAACGGGATGCCGGGTATACGCAGTATTTCGGGCCCTTCAAACACCTCCAGTGCGTGGTTCGTCCCACGCAGGCCACATCTGGAGAGGCCGGCCAAGTATGCATTTTTTCCGCGTTTATGCTCCGTCGGAGCCAGTAACAATAATCGGCTTTCTCTAAGCCCCAACCTCTACAACTTGATCAATCATGATACTAACAATAACCACAGAAATCATAATGATAGTAATAATAACAATAACCCTAAACCCTAAACCCCGATAATCTTACCTATAAGCATTAGTAATCCCTTCAGCCATGATAGCATCGCTCAGGACAGCCCATGCGTGTTGCAGCTGCACCGAGATACGCGGGCTGCGAGCTGAGTATGCGTGTACGGACCCAGCGGACCTCTATCAAAATTTGCAAAAAAATGGGTTTAGGGTTTAGGGTGAAGTCAAAAACCCAGAGGGTCCACATATACAACCATTGGGGAATTGGGACCCATAATTCCTTTTATAGTATGGCATTTTGGGGCCTAATTCCCTAATGGTTGTATATATGGACCCTCTGGGAAAATAGCTAGGGATCCCTTTAAGGTCTCATAGCAAGGAATATAGTGCTGTATTCTAGGATCTATATTCAGGGCACCTATTTACGGACGCCCCCATATGCCTTTTTCAAAGTGTGCCTCTTATGATTCCCAAATTCCGTAATGGGGACCCCGTAGCTCTAAACCCTATACCCTAAATACCTCGAGCCCCCTCATCCCATATAGGCCGAAGTCCTTCCTCCAGAAGAACACATCCACTCCTGCGGGCACAAACCACAGGGTCTGTTTCATGCAGCATTTTCCCAAATCCCCTAAGATGTACGCAGCAAGGAGTGCAGAACCCCAAGTAAAAGGCCCCCGGTGGTTGACCCGAATCGGCATATCTCAAGGGGTGTTTGAAATATAGGTATCCAGCGGACCCCAGCGATGTGCAGGGATTACGCAGCCATATGAGCCGCAATCTAAACTCCTTAAAGAGGTTTTATGGGGATCATATAGGGAGTATTTCTTGGCATATTAAGGGGGACACCAGGAGTTTAGACTATAGCTCATCTGAAGGTATTGTAGGGGTCCGCCTTAAGAACCTCACGCGAATTGCTTTGAGAATCACTCTAAACCCGTAATCTCCGAGGCGGACGACTTAACAACACGGGGTGGCGTTGTGAAGAAGGAAATACTCAGCGGAGGTGCGATGCACTTCGGTGCGGGGCTTTGTAGTTTTGGCAGTTCTGGAAGCCAGAGTCATCAGAATATCAGACAAGAAGAGCAGCAGTGGTAGTAGCAATAATGGTCACAATTACAAGAACAAGAACAGGAACAAGTAGCAAAAGTAGTAGTAAGTACCAGTAGTAGAAATAGTAGTAGCAGTAGTTGTCGTCATCGTCGTCGTCCTCGTTGTCGTCGTCCGTCCTCCGTCGTCTGTCGTCCGTCGTCGGTCGTCGTTGTCGGTCGTCGGTCGTCGGTCGTGGGTCGTCGTCCGTTGTCGGTCGTGGGTCGTGGGTCGTGGGTCGTCGTCCGTTGTCCGTCGTCCCGTCCGTCGTCCGTCGTCGTCGCCGTTGCTGTCATGGTAGTTGTCGTTGTTGTCAAGGTGGTCGTGGTCGTTGTCGTCGTCGTCGTTGCCGTCGCCGTCCTTTTCGTCCTCAAGAATGTTGGCAATAATGATTGTGATGATAATTAGTGATAGTACCCAGAAATAGTGGACATCAGAGTACCAATAGTAATACTTGCAGTAATAGTAGTAGGAACAAATGTGATCATAGCAGCAAAAATATACTTGTCATTTATCAGTGATATTAATAACAAGTAGCAATAGTGATAATAGAATAGTCGAAACACTGGTAATTACGGCAATAATATTTGCAACAATAGCAATAGGTGTTATAAACGCAATGAGGTAGTATTCGTTTTTCAGCAATAGCAATACTAGCAATCATAGCTATAAGAGTAAAACAAGTCATAGCAATCATAGTAATAGATACAATAGTAAAAATGGTAATAATGGAAATCATAATAATACTGGCAATAAAAATGCTTCAGAAAGGTTGTTAATCCAGCGAACCCGCTGAAATTGATATTTCCGGCCTTGATCAGGATTTCTTTTGCAGTGATTCGGCACTGCGGCACCAGAATCAGCAGAGCTCCCGTCAGCTTGTAAATGCGCGGTACAGGTCTTTGCGCCAATTCATTAGTTGCTGCTGTCTGGGGCGATACGGTGCCCATGCATTGCAGCGCTGCAATGAGCTTTGTTTTGTGTCCGGTGTGCGTCGGAAGCCGGCAGATCTGCGTCGACATCCTGCCCTAGAACCTCGCTAAAGTGCTAACGCGGAGGGGTACCGCCTGAAGCTGGTGGGGCCCACTTGGGGCCCCATGCGCTGCTGTGCGAAGCAGGTGGTTGATTAAGCAATCGCCCTCGCACATGCTTGGAGGTTCATAGAAGTAGGGTTGCAAGTTCATATTTGCCCATGAACTACCACGCAAGAGCGCGACAGTGTTGGTTCTTGTGGGCACTAGCGCGCCCCATTGCTGCGAAGCCTTTCAGCCGTCGTCGGTGCGCACATGTGTGAACGGTCTTCAAGTGCCCAGCCAAACTTTTCCAAGTGTGATGTTCTTGGTGCGCACTGGCCAGGGCGTGAATCTGCAACACAGGGGCAAGTGCCAGAAAAGAACGCGCAGAGAAATTTCATCCGCCGCAGCGAAATTTCACCCACCAGCTACGAGCTCCAACCTTGCCGGACAGTGACAACAGTGGTCCCATCATGTCATGGCATGATGCACAAATAGTACTTCACAACGCCGATGAAGAACAACAGAAATAGTTTTGGAATTGATTTCTAACCGAAAAACCAAAAAATTGGCGCTCTGGTCCGAAAAGCTATTACGGAACGAGACAGGCTCATGCGTGGGATCGGCCGTTTGGTTATGGTCGTCATCGAGGCATGCGCTTGTATCAGTGGGGCTCTACAAGCCGCATGTCTAGCCCCGCCTTCTGTTGTGCCAAAGCCTCATGAAAAACGCCTGGCAGAATCTCGCAAAGCCGGTTCTCGTTGTTCCCCACACCATCCAAGAAGTCTGGTGGAATCGCATACAGCAGCGCCTTTTGTTGAAACCTTGGGTTGGCGAGCTGGCATCATGGAATCAAACAGTTTGCCCGGAGAGGTTCAACTTGATTGTTCAATCAAATTTTCAGCTGTGGATGGCTGTGAGATCCCGCGTTGTGCGGTTGCAAGAAGCGAGTTGTGCACGTGGCAATCCTTCAAATGTGTGCACGGCGCGGCGCAGCAATCAGCAATGGGTCTGCTTTCCCCTTTCCCAATGCACTCTGACTTGACACAAAATCCAAAAAAGAATAGTGCCTGAAGTGGCATATCGCTGGCAACCGTGTTTGGTTCTGCTTTGTTTTTCGGCGTGCCTGGTTGGTGTGTAGCTTTGGCGAACCAGGCTTCCCATTTCCCATGGTTGATTGCTGCATCAAGGCTAGAATCGCGGCTTGCAAAAGTGTTGGTTCACATACCAAATCTCGTCAGGGGTGGCCCCGACATGCCCAGACAGCACCGTCCACTTGCCAGTATTGCGGCAGCTGTGCGCTGGTCCATGTTGCTACTCGCCACGCGTGCGACGTCGGAATCGTCGGAACAGATGCTCCCCACGCCACAAGCAATGCCGAACCGACATGGTCCGCATGCAGGGCATTGTCACGACGGCATTGACCCAGTACCATGCGTGCTGAGAACGCCCACTTTGCTCGTCCAGGAGGTACGTTGGGACAAACGCCCTGTTTGTCAACCATCCCAGCGTCTTTTTTTCGCAAGTGAGAGCCCATGTCGCAAGCGCATTCGAACCTGTACAGGCCAGTTTGCAAAGGAATGTCCCCAAGCATGTTTCAGTTTCCGGAGCATCGCGCAAACCATTTCGTGTATTTCCTGCTTTCGTTGATTGCAATGGCATCCAATATGAGACTGGAACGTGTTGACATTTATCCACGGGTGTGGTGCGAGGAAAAACGTGAAATGGGTGTACATCAGAGATGGCGAATTCGACTTGCGAACACATGAAGCTGCACTGTTTGGGCATGAGTCACCATTACCGCAGGTTTACAACAACCGCATTTCTCGCACACATGATGCGTGCTGCGAATCAGTACTCGATGGCCAGCAGCATGTCTCGCAACTGCAAGTTTGCTTCCAAAGCGGACATGTGAAGTGCAAGCCGCCCGTGGCACACTGTGGCCCCGTAGCCCCCCGGGAAGCTGCCTTCCTTGACGTCAAGGCTGATGGGCCCGCGGCAAAAACAGTGTCATATGATGGCAAAATTTTGTCCGCCACCCTCGGTTGCTTGTTGGCAACATGCCCGCTGCAATGCTCCCGAAGCACATTTTACCGCGACGCGGTCTTCGCAGTCGCGTTTTGCAAATCGACATGGGTAGCCCAAGCTTGCCGCAATTGGGGAATGTAGTGCCAGGGCGGTCATGGCCAAAGCAGTGTTATATGAACAAGCTCGGCATTACACCTGGATTTTGGCCCAGCTCAAAATTGAGAAAACACAATCAGTGTGTGGAGTATGATCTTGCCGGATGGTGGCGATGCGCAAACCACTGCAAACCGACGGGCTAAGCATATTTAGGCGCGGCGTCGTCGTCGCCAGCATCATGTTTTCGCACGGCTTAAGATTCTTCGCATGTTGTGCGCCCCGAAAACGCAACGCAACCATGAAACAAATACTCACCCACACCACGTTTTTGCATGTTTTTGCGGTGTGTGCGGGGCAACAATGGGTTGCGCGGCCATTTGTCATGCCGGCCTCACATGTGATGCGTAACGAACATTTACACATGTTGCGGCTGTTTCCCGGGTCGTCGTTTGCATTTTTTTTGCCCCCCCCGCGCGTCCTTCTGAAAAACAAAACGTTACCCTCTCACCATGCATAAGCACTGTCAAGCCCTGTTTTCGTCGTCGCAGATGTTGGCCATCGCATTTCTGACTTCTGTCCTTTCATAGGGGGCAGGCACGCCATGCCATGCCGTCGGGCAATTGCAAAGGCAATGCAACAAGCGGTCCGTAAGTGCAATTCCCCATTTGGCAGCAAAACAGTGCACCGGCCCCCAGCTTCGCCACATACGCCGCTGACGTCGCTGATGACACTTTTTTTTTTTTTGGGCCGGGCAATACATCGCAGAAGCCTGGATTTGCCCCGTTTGGGGTTGGTCGGGGCCGGGTGCTCAATGCCCTCGCACGAGCGTCTCTGGTGCGCCCAGGCTTCCCGATGGCAGTGGTGGTGGGCGGGGATGGTCGGGACAGCGGCGAATTCGCTGTTCGCTGGTGGGGG